CCTCAAGTACATCAGGGTGAGGGTTGTACCATTGGGACATGTTACCTTGGACATACAGACCTGTCATATCCTCAAGTACATCAGGGTGAAGTTTGTACCATTGGGACATATTACCTTGGCCATACAGACCTGTCTTATCCTCAAATACATCAGGGTTAGGGTTGTACCATTGGGACATATTACATTGGCCATACAGACCTGTCATATCCTGAAGTATATCAAAGTTAGGGTTGTACCATTGGGACATGTAGCCTTACCATGAAATCTTCACTTACCATAATGACAAGAGGAACATACATATCAAGTTTGGTGGCCATCTTGTTCCTCTAATCAATTATGGTGTAAAACATGGAAGTACCCATTGAGAAAGATCTGCCTTGTACTTTGAGAAGTAGTGATTGCAAAATGTCAACATGAAAATCCACTAAGACTGCAGGGCAGCTATATTGTTATTCTGATCAGTCTTAAAATCAAACATGCACAACTAAGGACCAAGGGATCCTATGCTTGTACATATGAAATCTGAGAAAATCTGTTTAGTATTTCTTGAGGAATAGTGATGACAGTAATTGTTAAAGGATGGATAATCGGCAGACGTATATGGACGATGGATAAAACCAAAATAAATGGCACACCATCTCATGATAGTTGACTAAAAACCTACCTAGTCGACCAAACAACTCCACTCCAAGGGCAGCAAAGATAAAGAAGAGAAGGAAGAAAAGCAGACCAAGGTTTCCGACCTGCGGAAGGGCTTGAATGACAGTGTCTAGTAGGGCACGGATACTCTTTGCCATTTTTAGTAGCTTCAGCACTGTAACAAAAAACACAAACATATATAAGCTTTCATAAAAATTACAACAAGAGGCCCAATGGGCCTGCATCGCTCAGCTGGTATTAATCTCACACTTGTAATCTTAAAAGTGGACTAGAATACAGCTACAGGCAGAATATCAGTGTTTGATTCATAAGAACCTATTAAAAGATATAAAAATATGACGCCTGTGACCTGGAATGTTGAACAAGGACATTAGGTTGAAAGTGGGTCAAGGTAATTCATTTGATGAACTTGGTAGCCCTTCATCCCAGCATGCTACAGGCCCAATATCAGTACCCTGTGCCTTTTGATTATTGAGAAGAAGTTGTTTGAAGATTTTTATGACATTTTATCCCTGTGACCTTGAAAGAGGTTAAGGTCATTCATTTGAACAAACTTGGTAGCCCTTCATCCCAGGATGCTACTGGCTAAATATCATCACCCTAGGCCTTTTGGTTATTGAGGAGAAGTTGTTTAAAGTAAAATATTGACGCCGGACGGACGGATGCCGGATGCCACACCCCGGCATAAGCTCACTTAAAAATTGGGGTTAACCTTACATAAAATGTAACAATGTCTGACGTAGCTATGGCCTATGCTTAGTCACAAGATGACAACTTCCTCTCTTCCATCTGCACTACTTGATGCACATGGACTTAAATTTGGTTGAATTTCAAATAGCCTATGTTTGTTTTTTCAGGCCATTTATTTTGCCAATTCATTTTAATAAAGTTAACTATAAATAACTTAACTCCCTCCCACAGACTAATACCCCCTCCCCCATAGGCTAATTAATAACCACTCCCACAATGACTAACTAATACACCCCTCCTCCCATAGGTTAACTAATAACCACTCCCTCAATGGCTAACAAATACCCCTTCCCCATGGGCTAACTAATTACCACTCCCTCAATGGCGAACTAATACCCCGTCCCCATAGGCCAACTAATCATCACTCTCTCAATGGCTAACTTATACTTCCCCCCATAGGTTAACTAATAAACACTCCCTCAATGGCAAACTAATACCCCCTCCCCATAGGCTTACCAATAACCACTCTCTCAATGGCTTACTAATACCCCCTCCCCATAGGCTAACCAATAACCACTCCCTCAGTGGCTAACTAATACCCACTCCCCATGGGCTAGCTAATAATCACTCTCTCAATGGCTAACTAATACCCCCTCCCCATAGGCTAACTAATAACCACTCCCTCAATGGCTAACAAATACCCCTTCCCCATGGGCTAACTAATTACCACTCCCTCAATGGCTAACTAATACCCCCTCCTCATGGGCTAACTAATTACCACTCCCTCAATGGCTAACTTATACCCCCTCCTCTAATAGGTTAACTAATAACCACTCCCTCAATGGCTAACAAATACCCCTTCCCCATGGGCTAACCAATAACCACTCCTTCAATGGCTAACTAATACCCCCTCCTCATGGGCTAACTAATTACCACTCCCTCAATGGCTAACTTATACCCCCTCCCCATAGGCTAACCAATACCCACTCCCTCAATGGCGAACTAATACCCCGTCCCCATAGGCCAACTAATCATCACTCTCTCAATGGCTAACTAATACTTCCCCCCATAGGTTAACTAATAAACACTCCCTCAATGGCAAACTAATACCCCCTCCCCATAGGCTTACCAATAACCACTCTCTCAATGGCTTACTAATACCCCCTCCCCATAGGCTAACCAATAACCACTCCCTCAGTGGCTAACTAATACCCACTCCCCATGGGCTAGCTAATAATCACTCTCTCAATGGCTAACTAATACCCCCTCCCCATAGGCTAACTAATAACCACTCCCTCAATGGCTAACAAATACCCCTTCCCCATGGGCTAACTAATTACCACTCCCTCAATGGCTAACTAATACCCCCTCCTCATGGGCTAACTAATTACCACTCCCTCAATGGCTAACTTATACCCCCTCCTCTAATAGGTTAACTAATAACCACTCCCTCAATGGCTAACAAATACCCCTTCCCCATGGGCTAACCAATAACCACTCCTTCAATGGCTAACTAATACCCCCTCCTCATGGGCTAACTAATTACCACTCCCTCAATGGCTAACTTATACCCCCTCCTCTAATAGGTTAACTAATAACCACTCCCTCAATGGCTAACAAATACCCCTTCCCCATGGGCTAACCAATAACCACTCCTTCAATGGCTAACTAATACCCCCTCCTCATGGGCTAACTAATTACCACTCCCTCAATGGCTAACTTATACCCCCTCCCCATAGGCTAACCAATACCCACTCCCTCAATGGCGAACTAATACCCCGTCCCCATAGGCCAACTAATCATCACTCTCTCAATGGCTAACTAATACTTCCCCCCATAGGTTAACTAATAAACACTCCCTCAAAGGCAAACTAATACCCCCTCCCCATAGGCTTACCAATAACCACTCTCTCAATGGCTTACTAATACCCCCTCCCCATAGGCTAACTAATAACCACTCCCTCAATGGCTAACAAATACCCGCTCCCCACGGGCTAACCAATAACCACTCCCTCAATGTATAACTAATACCCCTTCCCCATGGGCTTACCAATAACCACTCCCTCAATGGCTAACAAATACCCCCTCCTCCCATAGGTTAACTAATAACTTATCTCTTAATGGCTAACTAATACCCCCTTCCCCAATAGGTTAACTAATAACTTATCTCTTAATGGCTAACTAATACTCCCTCCCCATAGGCTAACTAATAACCACTCCCAAAATATCTAACTAATACCCCCTCCCAATGGGCTAACTAATAACCACTCCCTCAATGGCAGACTAATAACCCCTCCCCAATAGGTTACTTATACTTCTTCCTGCTCAAGCTAACTATTATATAAATAACCCTTCTCTCCACAGACCTCAAACAGGCCTTCTAATACCACCTCCTTCTCCATAAACAGGATAATGAATACACCTATCACTTGCAAGGACCCCCCCCCCCCCCTCCTCTATCACAAGTAAGTAAGTAAGTAAGTAGGAGTATCAGATACATGTACTTACCTCTGGCTATGCGGAGAACCCTCATCACACGTATGATAGTGGGATTGATGGGGATAACATTGGTTTTCATTTCCTCCAGAACAATACCAACAATGGAAAGAAGGACGATGAGGATGTCCAGCTGGTTCCACCTGTCAAAAGTGATACACAAATCCTCACTGCTGTATGGTCTTTTGTTGAATAACAATTTGCTTTTCCTGGTTCATTATCAGTATAGTAAAATTTAAGTCATAGAATAATCATTGTTTTGATAATATCAAAACTAAATATGAATACTAATAGCCATTAATGGTATTTAATATTAATTCAATTTTAGTTGCAAAAAGCCCAACAGATATACATCAGAAATATGTAAACTTAACCTCATCTTACCCTAGGACAACTTCCATCAGTAGATCAACCGTACCCAATTATAGGACACAGTTTACCAGTAAGTCAATATCACCCCCATCATAGTAGAAATTTTAAAAGAATGTCAACCTTATCCTGTCATGAAAAAGTATAACAAGTAAGTCAATATCACCCAATTATCCTCCCGATAAGATTATAACTATCAACCACAGGCTAACTAACACCCCCTCCCGATAAGATTATAACTATCAACCACAGGCTAACAAACACCCCCTCCCCTCTAAGATTATAACTATCAATCACAGGCTAACTAACACCCCCTCCCCTATAAGATTATAACTATCAATCACAGGCTAACTAACACCCCCTCCCCATAAGATAAGAACTATCAACCACAGGCTAACTAACACCCCTACCCATAAGATTATAACTATCAATCACAGGCTAACTAACACCCCATCCCCTATAAGGTTATAACTATTAACCACAGGCTAACTAACACCCCCTTCCCCATAAGATTAGAACCATTAGCCACAGGCGAACTAACACCCCATCCCCTATAAGACTATAAGAAATAGCCACAGGCTAACTAACACCCATACCCATAAGAGTATAACTATTAGCGACAGGCTAACTAACACCCCCTCCCCTATAAGATTATAACTATCAACCTCAGGCTAACTAACACCCCCTCCCCTATAAGATTATAACTATCAACCACAGGCTAACTAACACCCCTACCCATAAGATTATAACTATCAACCACAGGCTAACTAACACCCCCTCCCCTATAAGATTATAACTATTAGCCACAGGTGAACTAACACCCCCTCCCCTATAAGATTATAACTATCAACTAAGGCTAACTAACATCCCCTCCCCATCAGATTATAACTATTAGCCACAGGCTAACTAACACCCCTCCCCATAAGATTAGAACTATCAACCACAGGCTTACTAACCCCCCCTCCCCTATAAGATTATAACTATTAGCCACAGGCTAACTAACCCCCCTCCCCATAAGATTAGAACTATCAACCACAGGCTTACTAACCCCCCCTCCCCTATAAGATTATAACTATCAACCACAGGCTAACTAACGCCCCCTCCCCTATAAGATTATAACTATCAACCACAGGCGAACTAACACCCCTACCCATAAGATTATAACTATCAACCACAGGCTAACTAACACCCCCTCCCCTGGGGGATTATAACTATTAGCCACAGGCTTACTAACACCCCCTCCCCATCCGATTATAACTATCAACCACAGGCTAACTAACGCCCCCTCCCCTATAAGATTATAACTATTAGCCACAGGCTTACTAACACCCCCTCCCCATCCGATTATAACTATCAACCACAGGCTAACTAACGCCCCCCCCCCTATAAGATTATAACTATTAGCCACAGGTGAACTAACACCCCCTCCCCTATAAGATTATAACTATTAGCCACAGGCTTACTAACAGCCCCTCCCCCCCATAAGATTATAACTATTAGCCACAGGCTAACTAACACCCCCTCCCCTATAAGATTATAACTATTAGCCACAGGCTTACTAACACCCCCTCCCCATCCGATTATAACTATCAACCACAGGCTAACTAACACCCCCTCCCCATAAGATTAGAACTATTAGCCACATGCTAACTAACACCCCCTCCCCATAAGATTATAACTATTAGCCACAGGTGAACTAACACCCCCTCTCCTATAAGATTATAACTATTAGCCACAGGCTAACTAACACCCCCTCCCCATCAGATTATAACTATCAACACAGGCTAACTTACATCCCCTCCCCATAAGATTATAACTATTAGCCACAGGCTAAATAACACCCCTCCCCATAAGATTAGAACTATCAACCACAGGCTTACTAACACCCCCTCCCCATAAGATTATAACTATTAGTCACAGGTGAACTAACACCCCCTCCCCATAAGATTATAACTATTAGCCACAGGCTAACTGACAGCCCTCCCCTATAAGATTATAATTATCAACCACAGGCTAACTAACACCCCCTCCCCATAAGATTAGAACTATTAGCCACAGGCTAACTAACACCCCCTATCCTATAAGATTATAACTATCAACCACAGGCTAACTAACAACCCCTCCCCATACTATTAGCCACAGGCTAACTAACACCCCCTACCAATAAGATTATAACTATTAGCCACAGGTGAACTAACACCCCCTCCTCATAAGATTATAACTATCAACCACAGGCAAACTAACACCCCATCCCCTATAAGATTATAACTATTTGCCAAAGGCTAACTAACACCCCCTCCCCATAAGATTAGAACTAATTGCCACAGGCTAACTAACACCCCCTCTCCTTTAAGACTATAACTATCAACCACAGGCTAACCAACACCCCCTCCCCATCAGATTATAACTATCAACCACAGGCTAACTAACACCCCCTCCCCATAAGATTAGCACTAATTGCCACAGGCTAACTAACCCCCCCTCCCTGTAAGATTATAACTATCACCCACAGGCTAACTAACCCCCCCTCCCTGTAAGATTATAACTATCACCCACAGGCTAACTAACACCCCCTACCAATAAGATTATAACTATTAGCCACAGGCTAACTAACACCCCCTCCCTATAAGATTATAACTATAAGCTACATGCTATCTACCTTCCCCTCCCTATAAGATTATTACTATTAGCTGCAGGCTAACTAACACCCACTCCCCTTTAAGATTATAACTATAAGCTACATGCTATTTACCTCCCCCTCCCTATAAGTTTATAACTATTAGCTACATGCTAACTAACACCCCCTCCCTATAAGATTATAACTATTAGCTACATGCTAACTAACACCCCTGCCCTATAAGATTATAACTATTAGCCACAGGCTAACTAACACCCCCTCCCTATAAGGTTATAACTATAAGCTACATGCTGTTTACCTCCCCCTCCCTATAAGATTATAACTATAAGCTACATGATATCTACCTTCCCCTCCCTATAAGATTATGACTATTAGCTGCAGGCTAACTAACACCCACTCCCCTTTAAGTTTATAACTATAAGCTACATGCTATCTACCTTCCCCTCCCTATAAGATTATGACTATTAGCTGCAGGCTAACTAACACCCACTCCCCTTTAAGTTTATAACTATAAGCTACATGCTATCTACCTCCCCCTCCCCATAAGACTATAACTATTAGCTACATGCTAACGAACACCCCCTCCCTATAAGATCATAACTATTAGCTACATGCTAACTAACCCCCCCTCCCTATAAGATTATAACTATAAGCTACATGCTATCTACCTCCCCCCTCCCCATAAGATTATAACGATTAGCTACATGCTATCTACCTCCCCCTCCCTATAAGATTATAACTATTAGCTACATGCTATCTACCTCCTCCCTCCCTATAAGATTATAACGATTAGCTACATGCGTTCTACCTCCCCCCTCCCTATAAGATTATAACTATTAGCTACAGGCTATCTACCTCCCCCTCCCTATTAGACTTCAGTAGATTCAGAAGCATCACACCAATACTCCCTGCTCTCACATAATGTGGGTCCAAATAAGGTCAATTGTAAAGAACAATTATAGAAGTTATTGGCAGTTGGTAACAAGTTTGATACAAAAAGTTAATGATCATTATTTCAAGTTTATCACAAGGTATATGTATATTGAAGAAAAAGGAATAAATCTTCAAATAAACAAAAATGAGTACTTAGTTTTGCAAGGTAAGACTGAAAAAACATTCAAGGCTTATCTTAGTCATATTATGCATTCAGTTAAGAGAAATTTTGTTGAATTTCAATTTTGAAATTGGTTCCCTAGTTTAGAAGTTGACCAGACAACAACTTAAAACGACAAAGTACAAAACTAATCATGTAGACAAATCTCACTGAAATCAGTCTAGTAGTTCAGAAAGAGCAGTGCTGAGTATACAAAAGGACAAAGCAAAGAAAAGGAAAAGGAAAGTACCTCTGCCATGTTGTTACAAAAACAAAAAGTTCAAAGTGTGGTGCACAACAACATGATAGACCGATGCAGTACAGACACGTGTTGTCTATGGATTGACAGACAAGCTGATTCCTGTATAGCTTCCCAAACATCAGTTCCAGGGGTATACTGAATACAACATCATCAATCAAGCGTGTTTATACAGAACAAGTACAGGGATAGACACAGTCGAAGCAAACAGGAAGACAATCACAGGATGTGTCAAAGAGCAAACCAAAGGAAGAAAACCAATCAGTTCATATTTATCACATAGCATGCACTTCATCAATCCTTCTCCAAATGAAAATTATCCACGCGAAATATGTAGCTGTAATCAAAGTGATAAAACCGGATAGCCACTATCAGGCCCTTAACATGTACTCAAACAAAAGTATAGCATCAAATGGAAATGTAGGCCCTTAACATGTACGTACTCAAACAAAAGTATAGCATCGAATGGAAATGTAGGCCCTTAACATGTACGTACTCAAACAAAAGTATAGCATCGAATGGAAATGTAGGCCCTTAACATGTACTCAAACAAAAGTAGCATGAAATGGAAATGTAGGCCCTTCACATATACATGTACTCAAACAAAAGTATATAGCATCAAATGGAAATGTAGGCCCTTAACATGTACTCAAACAAAAGTATAGCATCGAATGGAAATGTAGGCCCTTAACATGTCCTCAAACAAAAGTAGCACCAAATGGAAAGGTAGGCCCTTAACATGTACTCAAACAAAAGAAGCATTAAATGGAAATGTATGCCCTTA